AATGAAATTTCTTTCGACCGACAAAATGTCAAAAATGCTTATTTTTTCTAACAGAATTTGTTTTTATTTTTAAAGAGAATAATATTCGTCAATTAGACCAGTTGGAGCGCGGTCTTCTCTCAGCTTTTCTCTTCTGGTCTTCTCTTACTCTTTCTCTTCTGGCAGTTCTGGCTTATCAAGGGGAGGGGAACCGGGGACCCTAACTTCAAATTTCAAACTGTTAATTTCTGAAAAAAATCAGAGACAAATGAAAAAATCATTTAAATTGTTTCAAAGATAGTTCAAGATCCCTCTCTTTTGTACCAAAATAGAACGATATACTATTAGGGGGTACTAGGATTCTTTATAGTCAAGAAATTTGTTTTGCTCCAAATATGAAAGCTAACGTCTTACTTTATCCGTAAAATTTATTTTGGTGTTCAACTGGTACGGCTGTGCGCTGTGTGTTCAACCAAAATTTAAGAAAAAAAATTCAAAATTATGTTTTTGCTGTTTTACTCAACTTTCTGGGCATTTCTAAAGTTCCCTTTCACAGTTTACCACGTGCGTACAAATGAACTTAAGGAGATTCATAAGTTTCAAGGGTTTAATCCTGAATTCTGCGTGTTAAATGAAATTTCACGAAATTTCATGAAATTTCATGAAATTTCATTATGAAATTTCTTTTTATAATCTTTCATGAAATTTCTTAACTCTGCTTCCGGGCCAAGAGTGAATCTCTGCTAAACTCAAACGCCAAGGAGAATATTAGATTTCGTTCGATGCTGCGTGCTGCATGCTGATTGGCTCAGTGGTATCTCTCTCATTTCGTTTGTTCACGCACCCTAGCGGCAGCGAGCTCGAGCTTGAAACGTTTGATCTTACGCCGCCTTTCGGAATCAAACGGAATTCTCGGAATCTGCTGCAATCTGCCAGAACAATCTGCCAGCACAAGCGCCATGGCGCACAGTGGATCGAGCCAATGGTAAAGGTCGGACATAGGCCCAAAAATGAAAGTGAAGGAACATAATGTTTCTTGGCATTTTCTTAAAGTAGACTCTTTAGCCGAACATAAAATACCAATATTACATCTGAAAAAAAATTTAAAGCGATGCAACGGACGTGTGATACACCGTGTCCACATTGAGGTGAATTTCGGGTACATTTTTAGCCTAGACGTTACTCCTATATTCTAATTATCCTGCATTTTTGTATCAAATTTTGGGGGTTGTCCTCTATCATTGATGCAATGGGGAGAGAGAAACACCCATCGCCATATTTTTCATCCTTATTTTTAATACTAATATCAGTGCACAGACATGGTACCCTAAAAAACCCGGTTTTCCAAATTCAGTGAATGATTTCGACATTGTTTCAGAACATTTCAAAGAAAACCGACCTAGAGGAATGTTCCTTATATCCCTAGGAACCAATATCAATTGAGAAGTTTTGCCTTTTTTTGCCTTTTTAGAAGTTAGGCCTATAAATGTGATGACAACTCGCTCCTCGAAAAAACCAATATTTGAATTTTAAATGAAAAGTCCTAGTTTTTTGCATCTAGGAAGGCTGGAAGGCTCCCATTGGGTTGGTAACTTACCACCGTTTCGAATTGGCTTTCGGAATAAATTAGTCATGCCCTCCCCCCCTCTCCCTTCCAACGCCAATAATATCATCTTGCACCACAATCTTGTTCTTTCTATATCGAAAAAAGGAGGAGACACTAAGTCAATTGATCGTAGCGCAATTTGATTTCTTTTTTGTTCAATATATGCATCAATTTTAGGGATTTGTGACTTCATAAAATTTTACTCTCCCCTCCCTTTCAGTAATTTTTATTCTTTTAAACAAATGTTACTCTCAACCTCCTACAATTCTGCAGAAATGATGCCCCTGGTTTTCATGAAAACTCGTTCGACTTGATTGTTGGTTTGAGTTTTTTACAATTCGTCGCTCTTCTAACGTGAGGGCGTATCTCTATTTCTCAAGCAGTGCTCAACAGTGCTTGGAGCACCCTGTATAAGTGGAATATTTCTGCCCCCTCAGTTTTCATTGTGAGTCATAAACTCTCTTTTTTATTTTAATTAAGTTTTGCTTCGTACCTGAACAGCTCACTTAACCGCATCGTATCCAGCTAGTAAATTTTGGAAGCGGGGGAAGGGGGGGCATTGCTTGTTTAAAAATATTCACATTGAGTTTACAGCAAAATAAAAGAAGAAAACAAAATATTTGTAGCTCAGCAGAAACAAATAAAAGAATAATTAATCGCAATAATTATTAGAGCATTTACTATTTTTTGAAGAGTTTCAAAGAGAAAAAAAAATCAATCTTTCCTACAAACCGCTGACTTTAACGCCTTTTCAATATGATATTCAGCTTTCTCGTGAAAAATTACCGTAGAAAACATATATTTGTGTATCATATGGCGGTTGACAGTCACACGATAACCCTATGTCCGCGCCGCCCTATCCTTAGATCCACAGTGTGGCGCTTAGATTGGCGCCTGGCGCCTACAGCTAGGTTTTGTCCCTAAGAATCTCTGAGACCACAAATTTTTCTTCCTCTTGACGTATGCTATATCAATTTCCATCAATTTTCGACGAGGAATCTGAATCTGCGCTTAGATTTTGGTTATCTTGCGTTGCAATCTACTTAACTTGTAGGAGGAATGGAGAAATTTCAGGTGTCAAAAATATGATGAATTTTATGTTCAAGTGGGAAATACAGAGTGAACTGAACACGAGGATACCCCTGGTTCATAAATTGAACAATGGAGAGATACGATAAAATGATTTAATTTGCTGAAATACAATAGGCGGATCC